CCCCCATCAAACCTGCTTCATTGCCCCATGAAGACAATAGAGGCACTCCACGTCATTTTTCGCAAAACATATAATCTCCTGTCTCTTCCCGTCAGCACGTTTTCATTCACCTCCACGAGGTGTCATTTTGCCACCAGTGGATGCGCAAAGACACAATCAAACAAATCAAAAGCGACGGCACAAAGTAAGGTGTGACGGAAAACGAGTGATTGGAGTATTGGTTATGTGATTGATGCCACAACTCTCTAATTGCCTGAGGCCTCGAGAGTTAACTGATTGTAATGGGAGCGTATTTGCTGTTAGAAGAGGTGTCTCTGTGATTTTTGGCTGTCAAGAAAAGTCAACATTCTCGTATGGGCGCGTGGTGGGCAGGTGGGGGGACCTCTCACATCTAATATACACTGAAAGAGAACAGGAAGACTACCCTAAAAGTTTGAGTAGCTGGAACAGCATTCTTACTCTTTCCTTGATTCCTTCCTTTGATAAATGTGTGAGTTGAAAGAGTGAGCAATTCCTGTCACATCCAGTTTCCACATATACTGCAGCTTTCACACTGCTTCGAAGATGCATTAGTTCTCACTTTATCACTTTAATCCAATGGGCCCATTCTACACGGGGGATTGGATTTAGAAGCTGCTGATTTGCCTGCAGCATGCTAAATCGTGCATTGCTTTAACTACAGTGTCTGCTGATGCCAAAGTCACAGAAAGACATGCTCGCAAATAGATAAGATTCTGCTGTGTGGTATTTTTAAGCAGGCATTTATTCTGTCCCCTGAACTACCACAGTCAAAAACATGTTTGGGCTATATGTGTGTGATTGGCAGTGGATGACTTCCTTTCAACACCATAGAAACAACATTCCTAGGTGCATTTTCTTGTCCGCGCCTTTCAGACAGCTATAGCAACGGAGAAGGCGAGCTGCCCTCCTCGCTCTTTCTCACAACCAGCTTTATGATTTTTCTCTCACTCTCTGTCTCTCTTCTGATTTATCAAACACCACCTGTCTGTCAGTCTTTTAAATGCTCACAGGATTCCAGTCAGCACATCTCAGCAGAGAGATCTCTGTGTTTCCTTTATCCACCAGTAAACTCAGTCTAACCATTCTGCTCTGCCTTTTCTTCTCCTGCCAAAACACATGCATAAGTACACAGCACCACATAAACACAGACATGCTTCTCATGCCTTACCTAAGCCTTTCTCACTGCTTGTCTGTCATGTCTTTGTGCAACCCAGATGACTTCAAGTCTGAGCTGAGAGAACAGCTTCCTCTGATTGCGGGGTCAGCAGCAGCAGGAGTGGTCTTCATTGTTTCCCTTATTGCTATCTCCATTGTTTGCAGCAGGTAACCAGATTTTCCTTTATCTTGTCTTTTGTAATACACTAAGAAGATGTTGAAAAATGTGTCACATCGTTCAAACTGTAGATTCTTTTCAAGCTCCCAGTTTGTTTTGAAGGAAGTTGGAACTGCAAAAAATATACACATAGGGCATAAACCATTCGGTATGCCACGTTGGTTCTCATTGTCGCTAATAATACGTACTAAAAAATCCAATAGGTGGCAACATTGCAGGTAAAATTCCACCAGACTCTCAGCATATATGGTTTGTGTCATTTGCTGTATTAATTATGTAAAAATAAAATTCAGTGGTGCGTAAGATTCCTAAAATTACTGACATTTATTGTAATCTTCTGTAAAAACATTTATGAAACATAACTGGTGCTGATTATGCTTTGGAACTTATCGTGTAACGTGCCCTACATGTAGTCACATACCATTTATTAGTGCAGCAAGACTATCACTTGATTCAATGACAGGCATACTGAATAGTAAAGGCACGCACGAATTTGATGGAACGGGAAAGCAAAATTGTCATTTGAAATGGAATACTCAATTCCTTAGAGAACTTAACATCTCCTACTTTGCCCCGTTAAGCCAATTTCATTTTGCAGCGGTTTGTCACATTGTCACATTCACATCTTGCTCCACTTTAGATATATGAAAGTCAAATTTTCTGCAGGGCTGTGTGCAAGTTTGAGCAAGTAAAGTGTTCATCAAATGGGCCAGGCTCTTTTGATGCTGAGGCAGAGGAGACAGATGAAAAGGAGTGAGATCCTATCAAGGTCTAATTAAAAATCAGCTCATTTTCATAAACTTCATTTGCCATTTCTAACCCTTTGCAGCTGATTCAATTTCAGCCACGTCATTTTCAGCCGGTACACAAAAACACCAAAAGTAATAAGATCATGTTTACCTCTTTCATCTTGGCACCCCTCCCCCTCGCTCTCTGTCTTTCCTTTCCCAACACTCATTGCATCGTTATAGGAAAAGAGCATATTCCAAGGAGGCGGTGTACAGTGACAAGCTGCAACATTACACAACAGGAAGAGGTGAGTCTGCTCTATTACTTACAGCTGCTCTAAGTTACTGGTTAGTTACTATCTATCTATCTATCTATCTATCTATCTATCTATCTATCTATCTATCTATCTATCTATCTATCTATCTATCTATCTATCTATCTATCT